AAAACGATACCTAACACGTGTAACGAACGTGTTAAGGTACAAATTACATAACGAAAGAGAAACCAGAAATCTACCTGGCGCTCTAATCTCGTAACAAGAATTCCAAGTGGAACTTAACCGAAGCATAAATCGTGGAAGCTCGTAAATTAGCTGGTTCGCGCGGATCGACGCTTCGATTCAGCGCTGTGTAGCCTAATTCAGCGGGGAACTCGATCGTCGATCGAAGAAATACGCGGCTGACGAGCGCGAGTGCACCAGTCGGCCGACTTGTATCTACTCGGACGATTTCTGGTCGGATGGCGACGGGGCGAAGGATGTTATATCGCGGGGCAAGGGCCAAAGAGTAGAGAGGCTCGGTATTCACGGTGAGCACTCGGCGTCGTGGTTTGCTGCCGTTGTAATAACCCCCGTAGATCATACGGGCACACGTACGCGCACCATCTTATACCGGTCTCGTTCGATGCAACCGAGCGCACCGGTATTATTCATTGAATGGAGCAACCGCGATCCGGCTCCGGAGCACACGACACAGTTTCACTTGGCGGGTGCAGCCCTTAACCCCTTAACACCGTGCCTTTCGATCGTCTTGAAATGCTTTATTGAACGGCCTAGAAGGGCACGGTATTATCGATCGACGCATCAGTAAAGAATCTGCTTAATTCTAGATCGGTAGTTGATCTTATTAATTCTGGATAATTGTAGGAATTTACGATGGTAAACAAGAAGTGCTGTTTTAATTGTGGACAATTTTAAGAATATATCAGTGTTAATGGAGGAGATTTCGTACAAGGAAGTGGACAGATTTCTGACGATCGATTGTCCGGTTAAAAAGGGTACAATGTGTTTCGTCAGCTTGAGGATCGAACTCTCGAGACAGTTCTCACCGAGCGTCGTGTTCCAACGAGCCCCTTATAAATCTGCCCGAAGTACGAGTTATACGGGCTACAGCCGTTCCGAGCAAACTTTTGCCGTCGTTTTTTTTTTTATTCTGCGCTTCTTCGCTCGTTTTTTCTGTCTGCTACCCTCGGTTTTTGCCGCCCAACCGAACACTCGCGATCTTGTTCACCGATTGATACCACCGGTGTTCGATGATGTTTGCGAAAAGTCAATTCGATCCTGCGTATCTTCATTTCGAACAAGTTCCCCTGTCGTTGTCATTAGTTTCACAATTGCAAAGATTTTGCACTGTCTTTGTAAGCATTAACTTGTTACCGCAAATGGAGTTCTACTGTACTCTTGGATCTTCACAATCGTGTATTATTTATGAAACTATCAATGGGGTAATTTATTCCGGAGGTCGAGGCACGATTCTTCAACGGCGGTCCCGTCGACGATTTATCGCCGTTCCGGCGAAAAATCCCGCGCTTTTTAATCCGGCACGGTCGAATCGCGCGAACTTACAATGTTCACCGTGATTTATCAATCGGTTCGCGAAGGATTAACAGTCGCCGCGGAACCGGTAATAGCCGATCGATCGATATCGAAAAAAGAAGAGAGACGCTAGTAGGTAATACCGGCGTCGGTAAATTAATGGATCCCTTCGTGAATCGATTAAAATCATCGTTTGTTCGAGCAATGTCCGTAAACGATCAATCCGCTCTGTTACCTTTCTACCAAGCTCGTAAACATCTCGTTTGATTTTCCATCTAGATTTTTCTCTCTTTCGGGCCGGTTTCCATTAAAATCCGGGCAAAAAGTCGACTGTTTTGTTGGCGTTTTCGTAAGCGAAGCGAAGCCGTAGCTGGTCGTTAAAGCGAGTCGCGCGTGATTTATCAATAGCTTTATGGAGGATTTACAGCCTGGACAGGACCGGTAATGGAAGCCAATCGGCCGAGCCTTTTAATCCTCTTACATCGTTTCGCATCGTTTTCTGCGGAAGTAACGTGGCTGATCGTGTTCGACCAGCTAACAACTCGAAACCCGCTTTCTTTTCCATTTCCCCATTTTTCTAGGCCTCTTTCAACCCCCTATTAATTTTTACTTTAATTCCGTTTGTCTTTAACCCTCAAATACTCGCATCAGTTACTGTTTGGCGATTTACGATGGTCGACGACGGGGTTACATTTTTCCATTTTCTTTCCGTAAACTTTACTTTCGAAAGAGAGTCCTCGAAGAAGTCTCAACGACGAGCAAAAGTTTCCGACCAAGAAAACTTGTTACTTTATCCTCGAACTAAGACGCGGTGAGATTTCATCGTGTTGGCGTGTTCAAGGTTTAAATTTTAATTCATCCACCGATCATCTCGTTCGTGTAGAGTTAATTAGAAGCGGCATTAAGGGCAAAGTACGAAGCATTTCAATTACGAAGATCAAACGAACGGAAAACACTTGTCAAGAAGTGAAAGATAAAAAGGAGGAAAAAAAAAGGGAAGGTCCGGTGATAATCGTAGAAAAGTGGAAACTTAACGGCTCGTAACTAATTATCTTGCGTAATTGCGGTGTTTTTCGCGTCCACGCGCGTTAGATGTTGCACGTGCAGCCTGAGCGAGGCGAAAGGGGTAGGTACCGGCACGCGACACGCGTGCAATCGTGCAAGCGTGTAACGCCGTGGACTATGCGCGGGTCCGTGGCGTGCACGTTTCTTTATAAAGTCACGAACCGCGAACGCATCAGCTCTCCTCTCCGGTGTTTCGTGACCGTCCGGCATTAATTATGTGTCGTGCACTTTAATACGAATCCCGGCTTTATGAGTTGCTGAAAAAAAAAGAGACTAGAAAGGCGAAGACAAAAGGAGGTCCCCGTGTCGACGGAATTATTTTTTCGCGTCCGGCCACCGGGACCATGGAATCTACCGCCACCTTCTCCTTCTTCTTCTTCATCTTCTACCCTCAGCCTCTTCTTCTGTCACTATTTCTCTGCTTGTCTTCTGTTTCGCATGGGAGCGATATTTATTCGGCGTTCTCTGACGAGGGTCCAGCTGTTTCTCGTCCGTCCGTGATTTCTGTGAAACGACGAGAGTTTGATTGCGGCCAGCTCCTCTCCTCTCCGCTCGGCTTGACTGATTGGACGGTGCCGAGCTCGGACGTCGAGTCACGCTTGCGAAAAATCTTTGCCGGGCTAACCTGGACCCCGTCGATTCGCCCCGGATAGCGTAACGATTAGCGATGGGATCCGAATGTATTGCAAGTAGCTTCGAATCTGGTTGAATAGTTTCGAATAGGTATTTATCTTAAAGAAATCAGAAATGTTACTCCCCAAATAGGCTTCTTTTGCTTTGCTTTTGGTGTTGGAAAGAAATCGCATTAGCTGTTCACCAAATGTCAGACGCATCGGTAGACGAAGACGAAGACGAAGAGGTGGGCCGAAAAAAGGTAGGAAAATCCATCGATCAAACGAGGCGATGCAAAGACACCCGAGAGATATCTACGCGTTCCTTTATCCGACGAGATCTCGTCCATGGGTCGTGTCATCTCAATCGTTCTCCAGCCCGAAAAATTCCCTTCAGCTCGGTGTGTTCAGCTAATAAAATCATCTGCATCCGGGCCAGAAATTATCTGACGAATTCATCTGCTTATCGAGCAATAAAATGGCCCGGGCATCCTCCACGATATCCCGATCCTATCTCCTCCACCTTTAACTCTCTTACCTCTTCGTCTGGTGTAGGTGCCTAGACGCATCGTGGCGCCATGCCAAGTCGAACACGCTATCCTCTATGAATACACACACGCGTATACGAGCTACTCCTTCTCTTTCTTGCTCGATTTTTTAGTATTTTTTTATTTTTCGACCCGGTCAATACGCGCCGCGCCGCGCCGCGCCGCAACGGTGCGTTCCGCGTTCGAACGTCGCGTCGGGGGCCAGTTCTTAATAAGGACCCTCCCTGCGATATTTATAATCCCGCGGGGAAACTGTTTTTATAATCTTGCCTAGGAATCTCGGAGCCTTCGCGATCGTACGTGTGTTCCTTACGTTTTTCGAATTCTTCTTCTTTATTCGCGACGATTAATTAAACATCGAAGTAATTAAACGATCAAATATTTGGGCTAACGATTTCCATCGATTTCGTACTTTTTATTCTGATCACATTTGCTAGTTAACTCGGATTAATTGACTAATTTATTCGCGAGCTCGGAAATGATCTCGCGTCGCAAGGTTCGAGCAGTAAAAATTCGAGCACTAAAAAAAAGGCAGCAGGTATAGGCAACGCGGTAGAAGGAACGTTAATTTCTTCGCGTTAAAGTTATTATTTATTGATACGACGTAATCTCGGAACGGAGATCAAGGTGGATGCTTAGTCGGTCGATATTCACCCGAAACTTGCGAGCCAAGCGGATTCCTCCGACCATTTTATTATCTCGATCGTTCATAAATTTCGTTACAATACAAGTATAAAGTATCCACCGCCTCCGCGATACGAAAAAGGTCGTCTTGGGTCCAGGTGGGTCCTTCCCGTGTAGCATTGTCATCGTTCGGGCGACTTTTCAATAATCAATTATATGACTCTACAATCGCATATTTATGAATTTCTCTGTGAGAAGAAAAAGAAAATTGCGAGGATTTTAAAGCATTTGAAAATTTATCCTCATGAATTTCTATAAGGATCCTTGCTAATTATGTCAAAGGTTCTCACCTTTTTCTGAAATATTCTTTTTTTTTTTAACAAATGTAGGGATAATAGAAATGAATTATTTACAAACAATCTTCTAATATATCGCATCATCAATATATTTTAGATCTTTGCAAAACAAATATAATATGATACAGGTATGGTCGATGATCGAGAGCGCTCTCTCCTCCGCCAACCTAAGCATATACACAACGAAAAATAATAATTATTACAAATAATGTTAGAATCGCTTAGTTGCGGCTTAGCTCTTTATATTTACAGGATATCACACATAATAAAAATCCTAGTACATATTTTACAACATGTAACACACCTCGTCTCGCTGTCTCCGCTTACTCTTCTTCGCTTCTCGTTCGACGACTAACTTATAACGAAATTATTTACAATCGACGCCTTTTATTCTCGTTACATTGTTTATTTTCAAGCACGCCTACGCTACTTTCTTGTTTTTTCTCTTCGTCTTTTTTTTTTTATTTAGCTCAATTAGACTCGGGTTCACGAGAAACACTAACGATTGGTCGTGCTTCGAAGGAACGATTACAAGCCAGGACTCGTAGAAGCGTTGTCTCGCTTAGAGAATTGATAATCCGAGAGGCACGAACTCGGCGAGAGTCACGTGAATCCGGATCCGATGAATTGTTTGCTTCGTTTTCATTCGTAACGCTACGAAACAAATCGTCGGGACACGATTTTTCGTGCCCGACCACGCGTCAGATCTTCGCCTATATTCTTCAGCGTCCACGTTGATTTACGTTAATAGTATTTACAGTCCTCGCACCTCGCCGCTCGGATAGAGGTAACTTTCTTTTTGGTTCGCGATAGACCGAACTATCGTTATTTATTTTACATCTATCGTAGAAGTCGCTTGCTAAACATTAGATACAGCTCTTCCCTTTATGGACTTAACAACAATCACCATCGCGAATCCAGAGAAAATAAATACTAACGATAGTTGAGTTCGTTCGAAACTTTGGTCGCGATTATACAATATCCCATCCCTCTATCATGGACACCCCTTTTTCTCAAGAAAATATCGAGAAATTACAAAATATTCTTATTCAAAGCATTCGTAAAGCCTAACAAGTCTGCGCTTCGAATATACCCCAAGGATTGAAATCACGATTAATAATCAAGATCACAGAAGAGAGAAGAAAATTGAAATTTGTATAAAACATTGGGTGCCCATAATGAAGTTCCGGGGTACTGTACCTTCGTCGATGGTAAACTAGAAGATTCGTCCGACTGATAGCTCGAGAGTCGTCCAAGATTTCATCCAAGTAGAATCAAGAATTCCACGTATCATTTCACCGTTATCCAATGAAACGAGGCACTGTCACAAATCTTGAAAAATCACCAATGTCTCTCAATTCCTCGGAACGTTCCTTCGACCCATTTCTTCGTCCGGAGTTATCGTCGAATTGTCCACGTTCATCCAGCGCAAGTTCGAACGTGAAACACTTTTACGTCGAAGTAAGATCGATCTGCCGAAAGGTTAGCCGTTTGCTCGATTCGAGACATGAACTAGTAGGCAGTCGCTTGGTGATGCATCAGCGGGTTGAAATGGTGCGGGCCAAGGTGATGGGGTGGCGGAGGTCCTGGCAGAGGACTGTGCTGAGGACCAACGGTTGGCGGCTGACAGACGTACCATTCCGTCAATTCTGGGCCTCTGGTCGAAGGATGACTCGACGGTGGGTTGGTCGTGGTGGTTGTCGGGACAACCGGAGGCGGCTGAGGAGACTCGGTGTGCCCGGTCACGGACAAGCTACCCCCGCTGCTGCTGCTCTCTTCACCCTCGCTCTCGTAGCCCCCTCCTATCTTGCCCTCGCCCAGGGTCATGCCGTGCACCTGGAACAAGAGGCGGAGCCTAAGGTTAGATACTTGCGGGAAATTTACTAAGCCTGCTGCTTATATGCCTGTCCCCCTCCCGAGGGGTAGAAACGGTTAAACAAGTCGTAAGGGTAGCGCATCTTCGGTACACCCTTACCAGAGTCTAGTTTGAACAAAAGTGATAATGGTATAGTATATTTGCAAGCTTGAAACGAAGATGACCCAGGGGCAGAAACGCGGCTAGATGTATTTGGTCGTCGTAACTTATCGCTTCGAAGATCAACGAGAATCGTGAGCAAAAAGAATTTGGGTGAACCGAAGAAACCGGGATCAGGGAGACGGGAGATGAAGGCTCGAAAGTTTCCCCTTTTCCTTCTCTTTCGTTCTCTCGCTCTTTCTCTAGCACCCAGTCCTTCTTCGTTCATAATTCAGTGAGCAAATCTCGACGACTGCCTTCCGCGAATCACGGCCGGCGAAAAGCGTGGAGAAACGAAAGGCTCTCGTTCCTATCCGACGAACCTATCGCGCACGTATCTCGGCAGTTGCCTTTTCGACGGTTCTAACTCCCTTCCCGTCTCTCTATTTTTCTGTGCCACAGATAATTTCCTATTAAGATTCCGTGGCCGTTCGTGCATGAACTTTGCGCCCGGATAGACGGCAGCCTCTCTTTTCATAGACGTTTTCTTTTTGCCTCGCCTCGTGTCCACTAACGTTTGCCTAGCGTGAAACGATACACCTTGATACGTTCTCGGTTTTATTCCAACAATCGTATGCAACGATCCGCGATCGCGAGAAAACGCGAGGAACAAGGCAATTTACTGGTTCGTTATGTAAATTCGGACGAAAGAGAGTCGAGTTTCTAGGTATAAATAGGCTGACACTAGAGTAATGAATTTCAGTTCTTAACATTTAAGTCGGTAGCACTGGAGTATGTTAGTTTTGTGGATAATAGAGCAAAAGGAGATTTGAAAAGCTAAGAAACTCTTATTTCCAAAAATAAAGTCACTCGATGGGTTCTTTATTAGTTTAAGGGATTTTTTCAAATTAGACAAAAGTATCCCTACATTTCTATTGTAAATTGCTAGGAGAAATGAAAGATGAAAACGTAGACATATAACTGTACCGATGTCGGAGCAAATCGCGGTCGAAATGTCATAGATTGCACACGTACCTTCATATGCTTGCGCAACGAGCTAGGATGGGTGTAGGACTTGTCGCAGCCGGAAACTCGACAATTGTAAGGCTTGTCGGACGTGTGGACGTGACTGTGCTTCTTGCGATCGCTGCTGTTCGCGAACCGCCTCTCGCAGCCGGAGTATTCGCACTTGAACGGTTTCTCTCCTGGAAAAAGAAGACGGGAATTAATGACTTTGTAATTGAGCCTGTGAACTCTGTTCGCGCGTGTCGGGAGGCGATAATTGAAAGCCGGTTCGTAGCCACCAGAAACGATCGTTCATCGGTTGATCGTTATTACTGCACGCAGATCTTCTTTTCGAAAACGCAAGTACCTACGTTCCAATACAATTATTTACACCTGTTCCTGTATAAAATATCACGCGAAACGAAGTATTATCCGAGGAATGGCGTCGGGGTTGCGCGAAAAGAAGAGGAAAAGTATTTTCTTCAGGGCAAAGAGGAAAAGCTCGCGGGCAATGGCGGTGTATGGTAGCGGGTCGAAAGCGATTACGTCGTATCGCGAAGCGTTTCATCATGATTTCGCGGATATCTTGATGAGCAACGGTGGAACATTCTCCGGCTCCTCTTCGGCCTGGGGCGAGAAGCAGAGCGATATCGAGAGATAAGCTCCCCTGCACACGAATGGCCGCCGTCGTCGGGGCGCAACGAAGACCGTGTGGCGTGACTCTCTTATTTATTTCCACCGGAAGTTGACTGGAATATATTTTACCGTCGGCTCACACCAGCTCTCCTACCCCTCGCCCATGGACTCCCTTTTCCGGGACTTCCTCCTGCCGCTCTATCCGAGAGAAGCGTGGAGACGCGCGAACAGGAAGCGCAAACTTGGCGGATTTTTTATGGGGAAAATGGTGGCCAACTTCGTCCTCCCTCGTGCGTCGTTCAGACGCTGTACGAAATAGGGAAAAGGGAAAATGTTTCAATCTGAGATTCCCTTTAGTAAAATGTAAAAACCAGGAACCACGTATTCTTTTTTTTTATCCGATCTCTTTATTTCTTTTTATATCCAACATTTTATTCCACAATACAAATCCATCCATTGTTACGCGAAAGCTAGGGTGACTCTACGTTTTCTTCCTCTTTTTCTTTTTCTTTTTTTTTTCTTTCTAAATCATTTGCAATTTAAAAGCTCGTTAGTAAAGCGTATTTTTCCATGCAGAGAAGGGTTGGTCGGGGTAATAAACGCGATAGGTGGTATCGCGTGGAAAGTCGACAGCGGCTCGACTAGGAAACGGCAAAGAAGCGTGGTAAGTTTTCGCGCACCGCGTCGCGTCGGCCGGCGTCGTTATTCATCTCACGTGTGAAAAGCGCGATAACATTGCCATGTACCAGTGACGTATCACCGCGACACAGATTATATTTAAATCGCTCGGACGTGGAGTGCGGGTACTTATGGCAGCACCGTCATAAGGAGCCGTCTTAAATATTTATGAAGCTGGAAAGATAGCGGGTACGCGCACGGCTGGTGTCGCCGCCTTATCTGACGTTTCACATGACTATGCTTCAACTTCCCTCTCGGCTCGCCACCACCGTCGCGATTTCACTGTTTCATTTGCGATTTGCCACAGACACTCGTGCTCGGCGTACCGCAATCACCGACCGTATCGAGAAAGTTTCATTTATAACACCTTCGAGAGATTAGACCGGACGGTTCGCGCGAAACTTTGGTCTAATTTAAACCGCCACCATTTGTCATCTTTGAATCAATTTCTACTTGCTTGCTATGACTTTTCACATTTCAAACGTGTTGCTGTTTCGGTTGTCTTGCCAACGTATAATAAAATACAATTAATCGACGAGACGATCAAAACATCAACAGATTATTTAAATATTTTCAACATATCCATCGCAATAATTTAGATCGACAAATCACAGTGATTTTATAAATTAAAAAGCAACAATCTGCGTGTTTGTTGGACCAACTGAAGAATCTTTGATTCAGATGTTGCACGTGTCGCGAGGACTGATCGTCTGATTCCATTCGATTCAAGTTGAATCGTTCGGGTCTCCACCTACCGATTCGCACCTCCTCGAGGAACCCCTCTGTAACCAATCGAAACGAGGGTTCCGTCGAGGTGGCAACGGAACGACAGAACGCGACGCCTGGTTATCCCATGGCTGGTACAAAAGGACAGAGATGGAAACGTTCTAACCGGAGTGTTGTTGCTCTCTCGCGGTCCTTCCAAAAACGGGACGATTAATAACTTTTCAAATCTGTCCCCGGCAGGGCTGCGAGCCCGCCGGGACGGCTTCGGTAGCGAGCACGTTGGCAAATAAATAGCAGATAAATAAAAGCTCGCGTCTCTCCTACGTCGTGCATTCTGTCGTGAGCGCAGGGTTGCGTGTGCAGATGGCAACAATATGCCGTGAAATATTGCCCCCGTTGGTCGTGTGCTCGCTCGTACACGCGTGTGCGTGTCTCGTCCAATGGGAAGAGTCTTCGGGGATACACGCGCGATATACCGTGGATGCTTGTCTACCTTTACCTGTGTAAGCGACAGGATTCTTCTTCGAAGGGAGAGGACTGGATGCTCGCATGGAAGTGTACGGGCATGCTCGAACATTTCTACGTAAATCCTCATTGTGCGACGGTTGCGACGGGGTAAAGACTCGTCTTCTCACACTTCGTACAGGGACCGTCGCAAATGTTTATCGTCTTAAATAATTAGATGAGAAGTTTCGATTTCTTCGAACGTTTAGGTTCAATTAATAATTCAATAATTAATAGATAACATTTCGATTATTATTTATTTATTTATTTATTACTAAATGGGATTAACCCTTTGGTACAAAATTTTTAAGAGAAATAATTTGAGAATTATATTCATCGTTTACTCCATAATCGGTCTGCCTACTAAATTGATACAAAGTTATCAAACGTAGACACAGGGTTACAGAGAAAGCATTCGAAGCTCATTGTAGTGGAAGGAAGAGAAACTTGAACGCACACGGATAAAGGGACGCAAACACGTACACACAAACTCGAGATTCATGGTGCAGCGGGTTATAGAGTAGAGTGGTGCAGGCAAAAAGGGAGCCTCCCGAAAGAGCAGTTCCCGAAGGGCAGTGTAGGCACGGTGTTATGACTTTCAGAATGGGGAGGCACAATGGCCCAGATCCGCGTCGGATAAAATAGTTATTATAATCGTTTTGGCTACGGCCTGGGATCGAACACAGAGACGCGTGTGCATTTCCTACGTGTATTGAGATTCACGATTCACCTTAATCTAGATCATACCTTCTCGATAATTAATACGGCGACGAATGAATCAGAAAAATAACGATAAGAAAATAAAGAAACCTTTGTTTCGAAAAATTTCAATTAAAAATTAATTTTTCTTCAAAAAATCATTTTCTAACAATAAGAAAACAGTATCATCGGTTCAGTTTCGTCGTTCACCGCGTATAATACAGAGCCCTGGAAGATTTATGACCGATACACTTCCGTCTTGGCTAGGTCTCGAGCACAGAGGCTTTCGTCGGCAAGGTTCGCACCTTGAAGAAGGCCGGTGTATAAAGGCAATCTAGAATTCCATCTTTCCTTGAATGCTTCTTAGTAGGAGACTCATTGAACTGCAGTTTTCGGAAAATCTCCGGAGTGATATATGGGCGTATACCATTGTTCCGTTTTCAAGCTATCCTCTCTTCTTCCATCGAAGGATAATGGATGATTTTTCGCGACCATTATGCCCGACGAGGACACCAGGTCCTAGACCATCGTACATTGTTGCGAAGCGTAGCAGAAAACCACCCCTCCGTGCTCATTGAAAACCTGACCAACCTCTCTCTTCAACCTCCGCCACGACCCCTCTATTATCGAAACGTTCTCGTGTGGATAATTTTCTTGTTATACGTTCGGCATTAGTGAAAACCGAGAAATCATCCTCGTGCCGGTTACTCGTCTCCGATTCTTGGCGTCGATAAGATCCGAAAAGTCGACGAGAGATCGATCTTGCCACGGATTAGGACCGGTGAGATATTGGATCTAGATAAGACACGGGGAGGTAACGCGTTTTGTAAATTGATTGCAGCGACCTCTACGTCCTTCGTCTTCTTCTTCTTCTTCTTTTTCTTCCTTGCTCGGTCGCTTTCTTCTACCTTCCGGCTGCAACGACGCTGATTTTTGTCCTCGTGGCAAAAGTCGAGATCGAAGCAGAGATAGAGAGAGGGAAAGAGAGTGTAGATCGGACGATCGCGCGAGCACCGGCGCGCTTATGATCGATGAGCTTTCCGTGGCGGGATAAAAGCGGGATCGAAACGTGAACGTCGCGATTTAATGAAAGCTGCACGAGAACCTTCCGACTGGAATTAGAATCGGCCAGTCGACCGGCCAGATCGTGAACGGATAATCATCATCCCCCAACCCGAAAATGGAAGTGTCTGGTACGCGCGATTCATTGCGTCACGACTCTTAATGTTTCACCAGACCGGCTTTACGCCGCATTTGCATCCGACGAACCTTCGCGTTCTCTTTGTTTTTCAACTCGTGCCACCATTTGCAATTTTTCAAATTGATCTAATAAAGACGATGGGAAATGCGATTGGAAATCGAATCGGGCAACAAAGAATCTTGCCTTCGACTCCGTTTCGCGAAAATCATCTTTCACCTTATCCCGACAAGATCTAAGGCTGGTGTTTCGATTGTCTAGCAGAGGTTCCTGGTGCAATGTATCATGACGAGGTGTTCCCTGTCTCGAAAATACGATACTATGGAATCGGTGTGCGCGGTGAAAGAGAATAGGAGAGAACGGGCAAACACTCGAATTACCACCGAAAAGAAACATCTGCCGATGGCGCTCTCCCTTTCAAAGCCAACATGGCGGAATGATCGGCGCATCAACCGGTAGTTACGTTTACCCACGGATTTGCGGTTCTTTTTTTTCACCCGCCTCGTGCTTTTTCCCCCTCGGGCCCTCGACTTTCCTTCCTCGTTTGCCGATTCACAACGGCGGAAGCGTTTCCGAGCCAAGGATGTTCCATCCTTGATTCTTCGCCCTTTGCCAGGCACCGTAAAGCCTATTATTTTGTCTATTTGAAATTCTTCATTGTCGTTCTCAAAATTCTCTACTATTTTCTACGATATCCGACGAATCCGGTTCCCAGGGTCTCGGTGGTCCTGTTCCGAAAAATCGCCAAGGAATCTTGAT